GGGAGGCGTGGGGGGTCATTCCCCTGAGCACATAGATCGTGCTTCTATCTCTGTCAATCTATAACTAGATATAACTTTCTCTGTGTTTTATTTCTTCTCTATATTTCAATGTCTACCTCTATCACCTCTCTCCCCCCCCCACTCTCTCTCTCTCTCTCTCTCCTTCTCTCTCTCTCTCTCCTTCTCTCTCTCTCTCTCCTTCTCTCTCTCTCGCTCTCTCTCTCTCTCTCTCTCTCTCTCTCTCTCTCTTTCTCTCTCTCTCTGTCTCTCTCTCTCTCTCTTTCTCTTTCTCTCCCCTCTCTCCCCCCCCCACTCTCTCTCTCTCTCTCTCTCTCTCTCTCCTTCTCTCTCTCCTTCTCTCTCTCTCTCCTTCTCTCTCGCTCTCTCTCTCTCTCTCTCTCTCTCTCTCTCTCTCTCTCTCTCTCTCTCTCTCTCTCTCTCTCTCTCTCTCTTGTACCGGTGCTTATCTATTCTTCTGGCATGGAAGTAGGTGTCCCTGTATCAGTATTAATACTGAAGGAAGAGGCGTATATTGTAGGTCTACAGTTTATAGGCCTGTAATAAGAGGGCAGTACTATTCGTTGGGCATAAATTAGTTCTTGGCGCCACCTTCTCTGGAAGTGACGCCACGCCCCTTGTTCTAGCTATCCGAATATTACTGTATATAGGTGTATACTTTTGTGCTACCATACATTTACAGTACCATTTCCTTTGAAAGTAAAAGAAAGTTCGGTTGTTTTTTTTTGGTTTTTTTAACAGAAAATGATTGTCAGTGTCATTAGACTCACTGTCCACTTCCTCATTCCATCACACGGTGACACGACAAGGCAAACTGTCTTTTCTTTGACTTTATTTATGCCTGTACAACGCAGACGTGCTGACCACTTTTTTGTCATTCCTTTTGTGGGTCGGTGGAAAGAAATCACAGGTCTCCAACGTTTACGATTACAGAAAATAACCCAGTGTTCCTGTGGTTGTTGTGTGTTCCTTCTCTTGAAATGTAAAACAAATGACATAATAATAATAATAATAATAATAATAATAATAATAATAATAATAATAATAATAATAATAATGATAATAATAATAATAATAATAATAATAATAGATAGCATTTGTATATAATAGCGCAAATCCCCGCTCAACAGCAAGCTCTATGCGCTTCACAATCTGTACTATTACCCCAGCAGACCTCAGGGGGCCTTCTGAAACAATCTTAACTTCCTGGGAAGCATACAGTGCAAGCAGACATTTATAGGCGCTAAGACACTAACAAACTGACAAAATCTTCCACTGTCTAAGGCCGGTTACCCATTCTCACCAGGGTGAAGTGAGGCAAATTCGTGTAAATAAAACAGTGCCTTTCCCAAGGACACAACGTCGGGCCCGCGGGTCGAACCCCCGAACACGCAACCTCACGATTACGAGTCCGGTAGCCTAACCACTGGGCCACCGAAACCACATGGTGTTTGAGAAAAGGGACTAAAAGCACAAGTGGGATGAATTTGTTGTAGACAGTCAGAGTAAATTTTAGGCTTGTGTTTTAAGTGTGTAGCATAGCAGCCACGTCTCATCTTGATCATTCGTTTTCCGTGATTATATTCATCAAAATAGAATACCCTATTATACCTGTGTGTTGAATAAACTTGGTTAGATAACTTGTTAATAAAGTCTATTATAATTGTCTTCTTCCAGACGTTTCATTTTACCATCAGAGATAATTGTCCGCTATTTGTCTTCTTCCAGATGTTTCATCTTACAGTCAGGGTGAGATAATTGTCCGTTATTTGTCTTCTTCCAGATGATTCATCTTACCTTCAGGGTTAGATCTAGGTAACTCGTCCGTTATTTGTCTTTTCCAGATGTCTCAACTTACCCTCATAGGCCACTGACTTCCTGTCACCCGGTACAACAGACAAGTGATATGCTGAGAAGACAAGGTCAAAGTTCAAGCTGCAGATTTCAGACAGGACAAAGGGTCTATGAAGAGAATGTTGGCAGTGTCCGGAAAGAAATCTCTTCTGGTAACATCGGTGCTGTGGAGAGAGTCTGTGACCTCCATCAGAACATAGCAGGTGACAAGCAGATGGACAACAGAAATCTCTACCATGGTTGGGAAAGTCCTTACGAGTTTAAAGTCTGTGGTGAAATGTTTTCAGAAGTAGGTAACTTACAGACACACGAAAAAAACCACTCAAGAGATAGGCCTCACCAGTCTGAAGTTTGTGGTGCTGCATTTACCAAGAGCAGACATCTACAGGATCACAAAGGAACCCACGAAGGAGAAAGACCTTACAAGTGTGAAGTTTGTGGTGCCACGTTTACACGTGGTAGCCATCTACTGAATCACAAAAGAATACACATAGGAGAAAAACCTTACAAGTGTGAAGTTTGTGGTGCCACATTTACGCAGAGTGGCAATCTACAGCGTCACAAAAGGACACACACAGGAGAAAAACCTTACAAGTGTGAAGTTTGTGGTGCCACATTTACATTCAGTAGCAGTCTACAGCGTCACAAAAGAACACACACAGGAGAAAAACCTTACCAGTGTAAAGTTTGTGGTGTCACTTTTACACAGAGCGGACATTTACAAAATCACAAAAGAACACACACAGGAGAAAAACCTTATAGGTGCGAAGTTTGTGGTGCCACATTTACATATGGTAGCAGTCTACTGTGTCACAAAAGAACACATTCAGGAGAAAAACCTTACATGTGTGAAGTTTGTGGTGCCACATTTACATGCAGTAGCAGTCTACGGAATCACAAAAGAACACACACAAAAGAAAAACCTTACAAGTGTGAAGTTTGTGGTGAGACATTTACATGTAACAAAAGTCAACAGCGTCACAAAAGAATACACACTGGAGAAAATCCTTACAAGTACAAGTGTGAAGTTTGTGGTGCCACATTTACATGCAGTAGCAATCTACAGCGTCACAAAAGAACACACACAATAGAAAATCCTTACAAGTGTGAAGTTTGTGGTGCCACGTTTCGGCAGAGTGGCAATCTACAGCGTCACAAAAGAATTCACACGGGAGAAAAACCTTACAAGTGTGAAGTTTGTGGTGCCACTTTTACACGGAGCAGACATCTACAGGATCACAAAAGAATTCACACGGGAGAAAATCCTTACAAGTGGGAAGTTTGTGGTGCCACATTTACAAAGAGCTGACATCTACACAGGCACAAAAGAAATCACACAAGAGTAACGCTTTTTAAGTGTGACGTTTGTGGTGCCACTTTTACAGATGGTAACAGACTACAGCGTCACAAATGAATAGACACTGGAGAAAATCTTTACAAGTGTGAAGTTTGTGGTGCCACATTTACACAGAGCGGACATCTACACAGGCACTAAAGAACTCACACGGGAGAAAAACCTTTCAAGTGTGAAGTTTGTTTTGTCACTTTTACGCGGAGCGAGGATCTACACAGGCACAAAAGAACACACACAAGAGAAACACTTTTTAAGTGTGAAGTTTGTGGTGCCACTTTTACAGATGGTAACAGTCTACAGCGTCACAAAAGAATACACACTGGAGAAAATCCTTACAAATGTGAAATTTGTGGTGCCACATTTACATGCAGTAGCAGTCTACGGAATCACAAAAGAACACACACAAGAGAAAAACCTTACAAGTGTGAAGTTTGTGGTGCCACTTTTACACAGAGCGGACATCTACAGAGTCACAAAAGAACACACACAGGAGAAAGGCTTTTCACGGTGTGACATTTGTAGTGCCAGGTTTACATAAAGAGACCATGTATGGAGACGCAAAAGAACACACGTGAGAATAAAAATCTATCAAGTATGTTGCAGGGGCGGCTCGTGGGTCTAAAAAGTGGGCGTGCACTATTAAGCTATCTTACGTTTAAGATAGTCAAGGGCATAGTAAATGAGATGGTGTATAATTATAGGATCTTTGTGTTGGTGAGGGAGAACCTTGTGATTCCATTTTCATTCTTTTTACTTGTGGCTTTGACTTCTAGAACTAAATCTGTTTGTTAGCTAAACGTCAATTTCATTCATCCTGCTTTAGAACTGAACACTCAAGTAATTCCTTTTACCATTCCACTACAAAACCGTTCAAAAGCACAACTCATAGGACGATGACTTAAGTATGTCACGTTCACCTCTCTCAGGTTCACGGTCACAGAGTCACTTAAAATAGCGGCAAGACAATGAACCAATCGCAATTCACTTGAGCGCTCCGCTGGATTGCTCCGGGGCTGACATAAGTTTGGCATAGAATAGTGCACAGTCTATGGCGTTTATTTTTAGATTGCCTACTGTGGGCTATGTTTCGGCACTATTTGGCAGGACCACATTTGAGATGTGCCGTCTTATTAATATAATTAATGTACCGCCAAACTCGCTACGAGTGTCGTCATCGCTTGGGTTATCCCAAAGAGCGATTTATAGGTCAGTTTTCCACTGGTGAATATCCTGCTATGTTTAGACACAGCGCATGAACTTTGTCATGGCATAGTAGTAGATGTTTTACAGCGCTATAGACACAGAAATGATAGTTACGGTGCCAGTGAGAAACGTATTTTGATATAATATTTGGCTAGCGTTTGTTTCTGGCGTGTTTTATTATATTATTGTTGGTGTTTTACGTAATAGAACATTAAACAAATTTGGGCGGCACTGCACGACCGTGCTCTATGTACGAATCGCGCCTGGTATTTTGGGACATACTCTTTGTGGTCCACACGATGACTGAAGGGTAAAAAATGATCTATCTAAAGAAGGCCAGATACAGGTGTGAAATTTGTGCTGCAAAATTTAACTGACTGTGGACTGGCTGCATACTAAAGGGTATAATTTTGAGGATTCTTTTACTTTTAGCTTAGTTTTTAGTAATAGTTTTATAGCACTTGCAACACAATAAGCTCATATTGTGTCCCTGCCGGTCAATATCAGCCATATGAAGGAAATGTCAAAACTGAGTGAACATAATTTTTTTTAAAACTACTACCTTTTCCCTACCATCTAAAACAAGAATGAAGTAAATATGACACTATTTGACGAAAATACAGAACTTTTAATTGTGCAATTTGAGGAAACACGAAATGGAGAAAATGGCCTCCAAAGTTGAGCAATATGTTTCCATAACAATGGAGGTTTTAGAATTCAGATAGAGACTTGAAATTTAGCAGTTATCTTGGCTATGCCAGTACAAGGTAACATACAAAAGTAGAAAACTATTCGTTCTCAGAGAAAAAACGTATGGACCAAACAAAATTTTAACGAAAATGTACTTCGCGTCAAATGCAACAACAGAATATTAGCATATATATATATATATATATATATATATATATATATATATATATATATATATATATATATATATATATATTAATCTGTTTCGAATAAAAATGAAAGGCATGTGTCTCCTGAGAATTTTGGTACCATACTTTTACCTCTCATTCAATGTTTAAGAGAATGGCAGCTGTTTCAATTTAACATTATAATAATAAAATATTGCTGAAGTCGTTACTATGTAACTGGCTGCAACCCCACGACGTTTGACAGATAGTAAAAGTAAAAGAGTACCAAGTGCACCAAACATCTCTACATTAAAGGAGTACAATCACTATGCCATAAAAATGAAGCCTGATATTTTTCAAGACTGTGAGATCATTACAAATCAGTATTTTATTACGTCAAACACAATGATCTGTCGTTTATATAAAATTCAATAAAAACACCGAGCGTTGTCTCGGCCAGCGCCGCACCAGCCTTCGCGGTGAGCGAGCGGGCTCAATACTGTAGTATACTGAGTGCTTCCGGTAGTTTCACAGAAGGATTCATGCCAAATAATTCCAAGCCGATGACTTTATTCTAATAGAAAACGAACTGTTCTTTCTATTGTAACCTTTTTTAGCCGGTATTTTACACATTTCGTGTTAAAAATGATCTTTGAAAACTTTGACTGTTTTTCCAAGGTTTTCTATCTAAACGCCAAAGGCCAAAAATAATAATCACGGGAAACCAGGCTGAAAGATGTATTGTTCTCCGCCAATGAAAAGACGGTATTTAATCATATATAAGGGATCCAGTAATAAATTCAAGGGAAACTGTAAAGTAGGCCTAATCTATGAGTCTGGTGCACTGTTTATTTCCTTTTACTATCTCCCCTAGTGATGATTTTGTTTCAACATGACCTCTAGGTCTTACTCGATAAAAAATCGAATCAATTTTCTTTCTCTAGCGCTAGCTATGTTGACTGGCAGCTCTGTGTTGGCGATCAGAAATTAAAGGGCTCTGGGCTAACTCGCCCGCTGTGTTTCCCCCCACCCCACCACACCCTGTGGTGCATTCTGTCTGCTTGCGCACGTCACACATTCGCTCCATCCATCACATTGCTGTGACCTCTCCATCCCCACATTGGAGAAGTGAGAGGCATGATAGGCCTTGATAATCTAATCTAGGCTTACACTGGCCTATCACTATCACGCGATGCATTCTGTTTGTCTGCACAAGCCACACCCTCCCTACTCAGTCGCCCCGGCCTTCATTGTTGACACACATTGGCTCTCCCATTCTTTGTTTCGCTAGATCACCAACCAGTTTCTCAACCTGCGAGGTTTTACGCTATGTATAATTGGCCTATGCACTGTGCACAGCAGCATCAATAATCCGCTATAACCGACTCGCATGTTTGTCTGATAGCGCTATAGCAGTATTTTATTTACAAAGGTAAAGAAGAGAAAAAAAACGGGGTTTTCGAACTGTGTCTTTATAACAGACTTCTCGTTTTTTCCGGACTCGTTATAAGTGGGCTCCACTGTATAACGAAGAAAATCTAAACTTTTTCAAAGTGTTCAGCACTTGGTGTTTTATAGCAAAAGAGCAAAGAAACAGAGATCTGAAATACCCCCACATTTTTACCGAAACCACGCGCTCGGAAGGCCGCGAGTCGGCTTACGTGCCGTGTTTACACTACCTGATAAACGTTTGCAATAGCACCATAAACACACGAACGTACACACACACACACACACACACACACACACACACACACACACACACACACATACACACACACACACACACACATACACACACACACACACACACACACACACACACACACACACACACATACACACACACCAACACACATGCGCCTAGACCGCCTCGGTGGCCTCTTACTCTTGGTAAGGAGTCCGCTGTGAGAGATCTAGAGGAAGGTTAATTAATCTTTTAAAAGCTCTAAAACACAATAAAAACGAATTTTTAAAGTCAATCCAAGTGTAAAACTGAAAGATCAACAGACGATAGCAGCAGCCAGCATTGCTCGCCCACACAGTCAGCTGTTTTTACGTAAATTAGCTTGAAGTGAGCTAGACGTTACCGTTTTTACTCCGTTTTACCAATCACTGTTGTTTACATTTCAGACCATTCATGCTCGGAAAAGGGGTCAAAATCTAAAAATAGTTGCGAATGAAGAACGTTGGAGCAAAGATTTTCCACTAGTG